ATCCATTATCCTGAATAATTATGTGCGATTCTCCAACAAGTTTATTATCACACATCACTTGTAGATCATCCACTTAATTGTCTACTCACTATACTTTGGTTCATCCTTTTGTCATGTTAACCTTATCATTATGGTCGTTTACCATGGAAATTTTGTACTCTGTGCTTCCATTCTCTATATTCCCATCCAAACTATTCCCCGGTACAAAGATCCCAACATGGCACGACTCATGACATGATGTGTCCAAAGTCGTGCATGACCTTGTTCACTCAAGTCTCACTAGTGAGCCCAATGATACTCATCTCAAAAGAATCGTACAAAAAGTTTTAGAAGCTTTCTTTTCCATTTTAATTAATGTATCTATCATTAGACTCTACTTTGGACCATTCAATCCTATAACGAATGACGTGATTAAATGATCACCGTGATATTCCATTGGGTGATATCTATCGATTCTCACTTCCCCAATTATACTTCTCATCTCCTATGGGGGATGACAACTAATGGTTAATCCCAATAATATTTATTCCAACCAACATTTTTGTTGCACAGTTTTACACCAAATATAGTTAGCAAATTCAGATCTCCAAGTGAACAAAGTTGGAACTAGCAATCGATAAAGATTACCCAAAGGTTCGAAGGGTTTTGTAAAGATATATCGATTTTCCTCCATGTCTACAATTGGAAAGTTACCATACATTTCTTTGAATTATTACTTCCAAATCATCTATTGCTACAATTCATCATTCCCTTCCAAGTGTAATTTTATTAAATAACAAAGTATAATACTTGAGCTAAGCTCAAGTTATATCTTCATATTATTCACTAATTCTATTAACACTAATTATTTTCTCCATCTCCATTTATTCATTCTCGATCTCTAACCTGGAGTTAGAGCTACCAAGCACCGCAATAAATCTCTTGCAACTTTTGCAAGCCTCTTCATTCTATTCACGTTATATATAATCTTGAATCCCCTTGATTCAATCCGATGCAAATATAGTTCAGGAATTGTAGAAGAGATTCGAAGAAGGCAACTACCAGCCAAGTGAATACTGAACTGCTATTTGACAGTGGCTTTGAAGTTTGACTATATATTTGCCAGTTGCCAAATGGCATGGTTGTAAAGTAATATGCCGTAGTTGCCTTTCTAAACAGTACCGACGCCAAATTCCTCCGATTTGCAGTATAGGTTTCTTCTCTTTTGTTGATTTTCTGTAGCAACTAAAGTGCACCATCTAATTTTCAAGAAAAGTTTATCCAAACTGAAAACCTAAAAATGTTGCAGTTTATGCGGTTAAATAACATTATTGTTACCTTAATTGATAGACTTCTTAAGTGAGACGATATCACCTTCCATCTTTAGATTAGGGTATCGTGTTAGATTTTAGGTTGTTTTTGTCTATTTTGTGGTTTGCCCTTTTGGTTGGTTTATACTCTTTATGTGTACATGCATGTACAACTAAATCATCAATGCCCCCAAAATTTCAATTTTCCAAGTTCTTAGTTAAATTCCAGTACCTTTTTATTGGAAATACTGTTTGGCTATAGAAGTCAAAATTTTATTTATTTTTGAACGAAGTTGGCACGTCCATCTTCAATTATCTTATTTAATCATTCCATGTTATCTCTTGGTCTTTAACCAACTTATCTTATAATTCTCTCCCCTGACAAGTTATACAATTTAGATGGAGGATAGACGTTATAGGAGGCTGTGACCAGCGGTGGACTGGAGGTGGAATAGAGTTAGGGGATGCTAAGATAGGGAGCGGAGGAAAATGAGCGGTGTAAGTAAGGGTATCAAAATATGACACGACTCGTTAACATAATACGACATTAGAATATTTGAATCTTACTTAAGCTACATGTTTCATAAACGAGTGGACCAAATATAACATGACACAATTAATAAATGAATTAAGTGTAGCTGAAGTCAATCAAAAAAAATACATGACATGACTCATTTATATACTGATCGATTATACACGAATCATACACGACATGATCCCCAAATAATACAACTGGTTAGACATAATTAATAAATGAATCGGATAAGGGTGAAATATTTTTTGACATAAATTTGCTAAGACCTTACACGAACCCGTCACAACAGACACGATTGACAGGGTTAAGTATAAGTGGGAGTAGACACAAATAATTTTAATTTTTTAATAACATTCCGTGCAAAGCACGAACTACCGCTAGTATTTATAGTATTTTTGATTAAATAATTGAATTAAAACTCAATTAAAACTTTAACATGATTATTCTAGGCAGAACTTCTCATGTTAGGACATAGGATGTATATAAAATGTTTATCACTTCGTTAAATCCACTATTACATGTTACCCAAAAGAGCTTTGCATGTAACGTTTTCTTTAATTTTGTTTTGCTCTGCCCACGTTTGCAAGTAACGTAAGTTTAATTAATGTCGGATTTGTAACTTCTATTTAAGTTATGTAACGCATGGGCCAGTAACGTCAAAGATGGTTTCTTTTAGTCTTTTTGCAGTGATAAATTATATAGGATGAAATCAAGTAAAACACATTATATATGACCGAGTCTCGTATAAATTCACAAAATAGACAACTTTTACAGAAACAGTACAGTAAATTAAAATAAAACTAGAATTGTCAATGAATTGTATCGTATACCAATTTTAAAACGTATGGGTTGTATCACTTCAAACGTATGGGTTGTTAAAATTGTCTAACCCTAGAAAAAATAGATTGCAGTAGACCTGCAGCATCAATGTATATTCATTTGACTCTTGTCAGGCTCCGAAATTTCGATGGACTTTTTCGACCTATTATCATTAATGGAACTTGGAAATAATCTTTGTCATTTAAGGCGTTGTCGTTTTTCATTAAGGTCCCAAAGCCATTACATAGATGAGCCTCAAGCAAAAATCTATTTTGCAGGCATGAATCATAAATATATCATCTCCATCACATCCTATCTCGTTTAATTCATTTTTTCAGAAATTTATTTGATAATAAATTAATTATTGTGTATTGTAAAAGAGTATTTCATGAGAATTAATGATTATGCTCATGAGAATATGATTGACTCTCAGCATTGAAAGAAGTCTGCTATCAATCCAATTATCAAAATATATTAAGTTTTTAAATTATGTATCTAAATTATATCTCATTAATGTTAGTGATTTTTATACCTTATGAGCTTTAATGAATAATCTATTTGTCATTGAACAAAAATGAGCTAAAAAAGATTGGTGACTTGGCTTATAATTAATTATAAACAAAATACAAAAATTTTCGATAGTTTTAGAAATTTCAGTTGAAGGTTAAAATTTGTGTAACTATTACATTAATCTTATGATAAAATTGTGATAGTTAAAGATTGGGTGTTTGGGTCTCATTTTCATCATCATTCATTCACAATCGAAATATAAGATCACATTTCTTTTCGGGCAAAATGCCTAACACCCACTTGGAAAAAATAATCGTTTAATCATAGGATAACAAGTGAGCAACTGGATTTCACATAATTAAATAATTATCCATTTATATGAGATCCAGTTGCTCACTTATTATTTTATTATTAAATAGTCACACCATATCAGCGTGATGACAACAATTACGTCAAATATTTTTTTATCCCTGGTTACGGCTAAAATGCCTAAAACACAAATTTTAATTTATTTATTTTTTTCCAAATGCACTCTCTCACATGTGTAATAATATAAATTATTTATAAAAAATAAAAACATATATACTAGGGTGTCCCAATGCAAAGGACATTTTTTTACCATGGTTAAGATCTTAAGTATAAATCGTAATATTAACCGTCTAATCTAAATAATTTTAACCGTTATCATATTTTAAGTTGTGTTTTACTAAGTTATGTTACAACATATATATTCTTGTTTTTTGGAACGAGATTAATTTTTTAAATAATTTAAAATTTTAAACTAACGATAATTAATTTAATACGTTAACCTAGTGATGTTCGCCCACATAGTTCAAACACAAACATTATTATACCTGAGAATGATTAATTATTTTTACATAGTATTTCTCTTATTTTTATTGCTACCATATCTATCAACTAACCTATTAATAAAAATAATTAATATTTCTTTTTTGGTCACACATTAGTATAGGAAAAGAGACGAGGTGTAAACTTGCAATCTTAAAATTTTGTAGCGATGGTCTTTAGGATAGCCACAAACCTCAATTTTATTGATACAAACTATATATTAATGAGTAGTATTATTTGAGTTTAAAAATTTGACTTTTTTAATTGGAATAATACAACATGAATTTAAAACTAGACTTTATAATTAACTATTGATTTTACTATAAGTTAAACTATTTATTGAATTCATTATCTATTCAATTATTGTATAGTATTACTTTATGTTCATATAGCGTTACTCTATTCTTTGTGATGTTCGAATTAATTGTGAACTCTATTAAATATTATAATTTATTCTTTATCTAATAATTTTAATAAAATTATATTATCATGCCAACAAATAAATTAAAATTTTTAAGCATGACTAGGATTAGTCATATTAATGACTAATACGGCTGAGAGTGTACGGTTCTAAAAAAGAAAAAAGGTCACGTGGCATTACACGTGGCCCCTGAATCTGTATTCCCACAATCTTCTTCGCCACATGGGGATTAAATGGCTCTGCCAAGTGACCAAGCCTACGAAGTGCAGTCGGCATGGGGGTACAATATGCTATTCCCAAAAAAGCTTTTCTCTCTCTCTCTCTACGTGTGTATAGCAACAGCTTAGATTATATCATCAATGGTGGTAGTGATGCAGAGTCTATAACTTCATCTCATGCTTATCTCCACGGCTGTTCACAACTCTGCATCTACTCTCTCTCCTATTTCCACTTGGCATTTTAGCAGAGGGATATTCGAAGGGCCCCTTTATCACTGCCTCGTTCTCATCCCTTCTTCACTCCTATAAAAATCTGTTCACACCCAACCTCTCTCTCCCTCCCTCACCCCCCCCCCCACCCATCAGCAACATCCACAAAACTTTAAAGAATGGCTGCATTTTCCTCTTCAACTGTCATATCAATTCTGGTATTCTCTCTAATGCATGGTGCTTTCATGGGCCTTTCTGCCAGTAACTTGTACCAAAATTTTGATATTACCTGGGGGGATAGCCGTGGGAAGATGCTCCACAATGGAGAGCTTCTTACTCTCTCCCTTGACAAAGTCTCTGGCTCAGGTTTCCAATCAAAAATAAGCTATCTATTCGGGAAGATTGACATGCAGCTCAAGCTTGTCCCTGGGAACTCTGCTGGCACCGTCACTGCATACTATGTGTGTTCCCTCCATAATACTTTGTGCGTGTGTTTTTACAAATGATTATGGTACCAAGTGAGGTGCTGTACAGAAATAACTATATGACGAGGGAAAAGGGAAATTACGATTTAATTTGTGTGAAGTTAGGTCAAAATGTCAAGTTACAGATAAAAAGTAGGATCGATCATCTTATTGTATTTTAATTTCACAAAATTCAGTCATAATTTTACTTTTGTTTTGTAATAATCGATATCGTTAGGCTCCCCCTCCAATGGGTCCTCCAATTCTAGAATGGTAAGCATTTGTTCGTATTAGCACATTTAGTTAATTTTTCGAATCGACTGACTTTGCTAATGTGTACAAATCTTGATCATTCAATTGGAGAACCCCCGAGAAATAACTAATTGGTTTCGTTGTTTAATTTTATGCTAATGTGTGTATTGTAGTTATCATCACAAGGGCCAATGCATGATGAGATAGACTTTGAGTTCTTGGGGAATTTGAGTGGAGAACCGTACATTGTTCACACTAATGTGTACACCCAAGGCAAGGGTGAAAGAGAGCAGCAATTCTACTTATGGTTTGATCCCACTGCTGATTTCCACACCTATTCCATGCTATGGAATCCCCAAACCATTGTGTAAGTACTCACTTCAATGGTCTGAATTTGTATATCTCTCAAGACTTTCTAATTGGGTTAGTTGTATGTAACCGTAGTCTTAGTTAAAATGTTGATTTAATCAATTTTTGCCGTTCCTCTGTTCAGCTTCTCTGTGGATAGCACACCAATAAGGGAATTCAAGAACATGGAATCAATTGGTGTTCCATTCCCAAAGAACCAACCTATGAAGCTCTACTCTAGCCTTTGGAATGCAGACCAATGGGCCACAAGAGGTGGGTTGGTGAAGACAGACTGGACTCAAGCTCCATTCACTGCTTCCTACAGGAACTTCAATGCAAATCCATGGCTATCTCAGAAATTGGACGCAGCCAGTGAAGAAAAGCTCAAATGGATTCAGAGGAAGTACATGATCTACAATTATTGCACTGATGCAAAGAGATTTCCTCAGGGGTTTCCTCCTGAATGCCAATAATGTCTAAGGGGAAGTCTATTGGAAAACTAGTTTCTTTTGCTTTTGTAATAATGTTCTCTTTTCTATATTTTAGTTGTATATAATAAAGTATATATCAATGCACATTTATTATAGCACTTGGTGGCTAAGTATCATTTAGTCTTATCCAAGTAAAGTGAACAAAAAGGACGCGTCTGATTGCCATGTAGTTAAAAAAAAAAAGGATTTTAATAGTTAATATAAGTTAATTTTGTATAAGCGAATAAAATATAAGATTAAATATGTGATAAAATTAATATTTATTATAATCCAATGTTTGATAAGATATTGAATAAGAGTGGGATAATAGAATCTTAATTATATATTAACAAAAAAATCATCAATTTTGTTTAGTTATTAATATTTTTGTTTATTTGGTAGGTAAAATATTAAATTTATAACATAATACATTTGAACTAGACTATAATATTATTTTTTCAGGTGGTATTATAATCGATTCAATAGTATGTATATAATGTATTATTTGAATACATATTTATAATAAGACTATATATAATATATATTGGGATTGTTTGGTTGTAGTATTAAGAGGTGTATGAAGGAGTCAAAAGAAATTAAAACTCTCTAATCTAGTCGAATATTTTGATGTCTCAACAAACTGATGCATTGTGGATGGGATGATTTCATAAAAAAAAAGACGACTTAAGTCTAACTTTCAAATGCATGATGTGGAGAAACTTAAAGAAGATTCTTAAATCTCTCAACATTTGATAGAAGATTTCTCTTTCTTTCACAGAAAAATTAATGATTTAACATTTTAATACATAAGTGTAGTGCACATAAATTTTTGTTTGAAAAATTCGGGTTGCAAAAGTTGTCAACTTGGAATGGATTAAAATTTTAAAGAATTTAGTCATCGTTTACCTTTATCCTTCAAAGAGAAAGGAAAAAGTTTCAATCAAGTAATTTTAGAATTATTTTGCAATGCATAACATAATTCTTTAAAATTTTTCATATGTAAATAAGGGTTTTCAGACTAAAGACCACGGAATTGCTATAAAAGTTGTATTGTCCCTAATATAATGGTAAAATTTAGAGCATTAGTGGAAAAAACAAAATATGAAAGGACACTAGCGCGCGTGATGTAAATATTATGTTAAAAATCTAACATTCTGAAATATCTCTTATTCCCTTTGATTATTATTAATCATGCTTAACTCAAAAGAGTCTGATAATGCTTGTGATGATGAAGATGACAAAGATGAATGACTAGAATAATTTACAGACCTTACTGATGACTTAACAGATATAAACAATTAAAATACAATAAACAGTGTATACACATATCATACAACTAGACAACTTCTCCGTTCATTTTGAAATTACCATAACTTTCCGACAATGGCGGCAAAAAGCTCGATCTAACCTGATTTAAATCATACACCCAAGTATAAGTGGTCAAATTATAGTATGTTTCGATTAAGTCCGAGGTCGAGGTCGAACCCACATGGAGCTAACTATTGGTATTCAAAATAGGAAAGACTAAGATTGTCATGTGTGTTGTGTGCAATGGAATAGCTTGTGGTATGAGCTTAAAATTATCAAATAGACACTTAATTAATCTTTGAATAATAATGATAAAGGATACCCTTTAGTTCGGGGATTCAACATGCATTAAATTGGTTGTTTATGAAAATACCACCTTACAACAATTAAATCTCATTTTACTGGAAAGTTAACTGGTAGGTTTGATGTATAACTGAACCATATCACAACAATTGGTTAGGCTAGCCAGAAGGTCTATGTACCATGCAACAACCAAATTACACTAGTAAACCCGAAGGTGAATCATTCAAAAGGTTAACTTTAGCTATTCGATTGACAGGTTAATAATTTAATGAAGATGAAGTTTTAGTTTATGCATTGAATCAAAAACATTAGTTATAACAAGATTTAACTTGTCTGTAACCAATCTTTCGATTGGTACATAAAATCCAACTACATGCATCATTAAATCATACATAAAGTACGTAATAACTTATAGATAGAATGTTATATAGCAATAAGCTTTGCTCGGAGTTCATAATCATGAGCATATTATAATAATAATCATCCATCATTTAAGGAAGGTATAAACATTAACACATAAACAAAACATTGACATTTTCATAATTTAAACAGTATTACACACGCGTTCACCCTTCACCAAAGAGTATAAATGGACTACTCAAGCTTCACTGCTATAGACAAGCAAGAACAATGAGATGTTCCTATTACATCCCAAAACAAAATACACAAAACCCTCCCCGAGGAATAGTTAAAACACTGTCACTCTTATTACCAGTTAGGGCACAAAAGTGGGAGAGGTTCAACCCTCCAAGTAGAAATGATAAACAAAAATTTAGAAATAGAGAAAATTTTGGCTGTGAAGTAATCAGGGCAAGGATTTGTTTTTTCTGGCAATAAAACTCTCTAAAGACTCTATTTCTCTCTTTTCTTCCCTCATTTCTCTCCTTCCCTGAACTAGCTAAAGCAAGCAATTTATAAGCACCGAAAAAGGGGGTAGAGGCGACATAAACCCAAGCTGGCCAATAAGGTGTTTTTGATGCTTAAATGGACCAATAAGAGGAAAGGGAGTAAAAAGGCAGTTTAACCACCATCTGGATGCCACCACCATCATTTGGATGGTGCTAAATTTTTGGTTTTCTATGCTTGACAGCCTCTTTCTTTGACTTTTTGACTTGTGAATTGCACTTGCTTCCCTTGTCTGTTCTAGCCTTTGCACTTTTGCCCTTTGAATTTCCTTAATTATCTCTGAAACCTTATAAAATAAACAAATCAAACATTAACCCTAATACAACACAAATCAATTACTTTAACCTAATTTACGCACACCATTAAACCTAAATTCTAATTCATTACCGCACTATTTAGGGTTGACCACCCCCACTAATTTCATAGAATTACTCCTCCACCAGACCATCTTGGACTACCCTTAGAAGAACCATCGTCATTTAGCTTGAGAAAACCATCTGGTGGAGGCTCATAGCTAACCCAAATAGCTCCTACCTTAATTGGAGTAGATTAGACATTAAGAGAAGACAATAATTCCTTTTCTTGGATGCTATCTGGTGCCTTTGGCTTAAGAACATAACTTTAACATTTAAGAAGTTGTAGAATAATGATAATCAACTGAGAAGAATGTAGAGAAACCCCTTCAAACATGTGCCTGCACCTTTCCTTCCAGATTTGCCAAAAAATAATTAATGAAACTCCCCTTAGAAGGCCATGACTTAAAGAATGTTTGTCGTATTTCCTGGAGAGTCTAATAAATCTTGCTAATGGACCCTCGACTAGCAATAAATAAAAACCCATGATTGCTGATACAGACTGTGACACCCCTAAAACTAGAGGTCCTTTGTCAACATGTTGGTCACTCATCAACCTGTGAAAATTTTCGTGAATACCGCATAACCCAACACCACGACACAATATCCCCTTTACCGGGATCACAACAACAAAAAGTTTGGACAGGGTCTCCCTTGTACTGGGCACTTCCAAATGTATAACCTATATATCATTCAATCACATGACCCATCCAAGGTCTAATATACATTAATTTACTCTCATTTATTATCCATTTGTATCATTTGAACAAAAGAACCCAAGACCTGAAAGCATAACAACAACATTTTTAGAATTTGAAATTTCAGGAATACCTGCTAGTAGAGGATGACCATGTTCTATCAATAGGAAAACCTTCTAGAAAAGTTCTATCGGTAAGTTTATCATCGTTCTACTAGTAGGAAAAATCCCTGGAAAAGTTCTATTGCAAAACTTGAAGTTCTACCCGTACGTCTAGCCTTTTGGAAAAGTTCTACCAGTAGAAAAACTCATCGTTCTACCAATAAATCTTACCTGTTTTCCTATAATTCTTTCCTTTTTCAATTCCAATCCATTCCAAACTTATACAACATCATACCAAACTCATATAACATCAATTTTAAGCAAAACACAGTTCATATAAGTTCACTTTACAATCCTTTACAAAATCACATGTCCAAAACTAAATAACATAAAAGTTTTTACAAAACTTGTTTCAAAAGTCACATCTAGGCTTTTCTTCAACCACGAGGGCCCAATTGAGAGCCATCCAGCGGCATATATCCCGCACTTGAAATGTTGTCTCCATAAAGGGTAAGTCACGCTCAATAGGGTATCTCCTAAAGAGGCTATTCTTAACCTAAATGCATATGAAATGTTCACATGCACAATTCAACAAGCAACAACATTCCAATCAAGAATATGCAATTCAATATTGGAAATCACCATACCATGCCATGATATCACATGAGACTCACTCATGTACTTCAACTCGAGCCTTTACTAGTTCCCTCAACATATACAAATGTCATGCGTGTTACTCTTGACATTTCAAGCCCCCGCCATTGATATTACACATCCAATGACCATTAAATTCTCCGGGTCTTTCTTGGGGTGGGTATTTATTTACTTCCACCAACGGCCACCCAACCGACACGACATTTATGGACTTCCACCAATGACATCACATACACCGACACACTTTATAGACTCTATACTAAAGAAGTGTGTATCTCAAGTAAACGAGTCTTGTAGCTGAGGGATAGTCTAGCTCTTCTTGCTAACCCTGACCTAATTTTCAATTCAAATTGTGCGACTCACTCACCAAGAGTGGCGTTTGATGACAACCATGCACACACACTGATACTTATGCCTAATGCCCTTGAATGTGATGTCTTTGCGCATATGCAATGTAATATACAATTGTCACACTATAATCATGTTCAATATTGTATGAGCTTCATATGAATTATATCCACCAAATTTCAACATTTACCATGGCCAATTATATCATAAGCATATAATTACCATAAATTATCTTAATGACAATAAATCGCCAAACATATATCAACATTATACCCAACAACAATTTTCAAGCATGTTATCATATAATCTCATGCAAATGACACACTTAATAGC